AGTCCAGACTTGAATGTCCTTGACCTTGGTTTCTTTAGGTCAATAGATGCTTTGTCAGACAAGACTGCACCAAGGTCAATGAGGGAGTTGATCACCAATGTGACCATGTCTTATGACCAACTCACAGCCCATACCTTAAATAATGTTTTCCTTACCTATCAGGAGGTAATGGGTGAGGTCCTTAAGCAGAAAGGGGGAAATGACTATAAAATACCACATATGGGCAAAGAAAGGTTGGCCAGGGAAGGAATGCTGCCTGAGAACATACATGTGGATGCTCAAGTCTATGAAGATGCTGTCCAGTTCTCAGAAAGCAACACTCAAGGGCCAAAGGACAATACTTTTGTGTAACTCTTTTTTTGGTTTGTACTTGTACACACAACAGCACACTTTTTTTGCTTTTTAGTAGTGTTTAGTCATAGTGTGCAGGCTTGTGTAATGATGTGGTACCAGATTCTCAATGTAAAATATTAAGCTCGGACTGAATATCAATCATAGGCAGATAAAATGCCTCAAAACTCAACTTTGTTCTACAATCATAGGCATATAAAGGGGCAGGCATGTCTAGGGACTCAAACCATGGTTGAGCTGCCTCAAAAATTCATTTAGAAGTTCAATCATAGGCATATAAAGGGGCAGGCATGTCTAGGGACTCAAACCATGGTTGGGCTGCCTCAGAAATTCATTTAGAAGTTCAATCATAGGCATATAAAGGGGCAGGCATGTCTAGGGACTCAATCCATGGTTGGGCTGCCTCAGAAATTCATTTAGAAATTCAATCATAGGCATATAAAGGGGCAGGCATGTCTAGGGACTCAAACCATGGTTGGGCTGCCTCAGAAATTCATTTAGAAATTCAATCATAAGCATTTAGGCACTCAACATCATAGGGGTGGCAAAGACATATTCCAAATTGAGCACAGTAAGCCTCCAAACCTATAGGGGTGGCATTACAGTGAAGAAATTCTCCCATAATTCAGAAAGACTAAGGTTTGCATCATGAGTTTGCCCAAAAAAATATGCAATGAAGTCAAGAAGCAAGAAATTTTACTTTAAGAAGACAACACTGCATAAATAACAGGGGCTTTAACCCTTCGTAATTTTTCCCCAAAATCAGAACATGAAGGGTTTACAGAAACAGAGGCAATAAATATTCATAAAGAACAGAGGATAGAAGCACTTTACTCTGTTCAAATCGCATGAGCTTCATTGGACTTCCAACGGGTTTGGCAAAGAAAATTTCCGTATCAGAGGTCATTCTTCCAATCTCTTCGGTGGTGAATGAATCAACTTTTGAATCCCCTGATTCCCCTTCTTCTAGATCTGAATTCCACTCAACGCCGTCCGGAAGATGATCGCCCCCAAGGTATTTCTTCCGGTAGTTCCAAGACGGATCGGTGTCAGAAGAATCAGATGCATCAGGGTTGTAGCCTGGAAAACATACCCTCTTGCGCTTAGGAGGTCGAACATCTTCATCGCTTTCACTTAGAAGGCGAAAGGAAGGCATATCCCAGTCCAGATCTGGAGAAGGAGGGGATGAGGCCATGGAAAATTTGATCGGCGTAGGTGAGGATAGGGTTTAGGGAAGAGAGAGAGACGATGTGTGTCAGTAAAGGGCTGGGTATGGGTGGGATGGTAGTCTTTTAGGGCTGGGGGTATTCTGGGGAAAAAGTGTGGAATGGAAGTGTTTTGTGGAAAACAAAAAAAACGAAAGAGGAAGTGTTTAATGGAACGGAGGGAGTATTTAAAACCTAAACAGAATAGCAAACCAGTCTTTTCCTTCTAGGCTTGATGGAGCAAATTAAATTTAATTTTCTGGTCCTAATTTCTTTTTTATTATATCATCCGTGCAGTATTATTGTTTTTCCAAGTAGTCTTCCCTCAATTTTTATTTAGATTATGCTTAATTTGTGGTCAAAGAGTGTCTCTGTTTGACCAAAAAATCAAAACATGAAAAGTTTATAAGATCGGAGGGAGTATGATTAACACATTACACATGTAAATAAGTATAAATTAGTAATTGAGTGGTAGAAAAGTGTTAAAGAGTGAAAACAATTATGTTTTGCTTTGTGTAAATGAGAAAAAATATTGTAGGCTACATGATTTATCAAAATTCTTTTTATTCCCTCCGTTTCAAATTAATCATCTTCTATCCTTTTTTAGAAAGTTTTTTGTATCTTTCCTTTTTCTCCCTCGTATGCATCACTTTCAACCACACAATTTCACTTTTCTTAAACTCCATGCAAAAATTAATTTGTATGAATTAATTTGGAACGAAGAGAGTCTAATCAGAAAATTACTTACGGGTAACGCGAGTTTTGTCGAAATAACTCTCAGATCCCTCTATTTTCAAAAAGACAACTGAGGTCCTTACATTTTGTTGTAATAACTGGGAGGGGATATTTCATCCAACATTTCATCCATAAGTGTTAATAAATGTATTTTTTTCCTATTTTTCCATTATTGTTTTTTCCTATTTTGCCATTACTCGGTTTTTTCTTTTTTAGAAAATATTTTATTTCATTTATTTTAATATAATACAAAAAATTTTGAATTTTTATTTGATTTTATAGAAGAAATTCTAAAATAACACTTTAAAAAAGAGTAACAAAAAAAGAAAAATAAAGAAATAAAAAAGGAGCGACCTAAGATTTATTACCTTAAAATATTTAGAAAAAAAAGGAAAAAAATACATTTATTTACGTTTATGGATGAAATATTGGGTGGAATGTCCCCTCCCAGTCATTACAATAAAATGTAAGGACCTCCGTTGTCTTCTTGAAAATAGAAGAACCTGAGAGTTATTTCGACAAAACATGCGTCAACCGTGAGTAATTTTCTAGAGTCTAATGCAAAAAGTGACGTAGAAATATTTTTGTGTTACTAAATTGGTAAGTTGAAAATAATTCATCCAACCATCATTATAGAGCAGTGACCGAATTGACAATTCTAGTTAATACTAAATTACTAATAATAATGGGCCTAAGTTCACCTAAGTTCGAATAAAACTAAAACTCAAATAACAATAAAAATAATACTCGTAAAAGATTAATAATAATAATAATTTTCATTATTATTAATATTCATATTATTATTACTAATATTAATATTTATATTAGTTATTAACAATAGAATTATTATTATTATTATTACTATTATTACTATTATTATTATTATTATTACTATTATTACTATTATTATTATTATTATTACTATTATTAGTATTAGTATTACTATTATTATTATTACTACTATTATTACTATTATTATTATTATTACTATTATTATTATTATTATTATTTATGATTGTTGTTGTGGACCTGTAGGGCGGACTACTATGGGAGTATATATATGCCTTGGACTATACGTACGGCAGTATGCGTTCCAAACTCATGTCCTCTCGTAGGCGTAAATATCCTACCCGTCTAATCTATCTATATAGATTATAAGTTGTATTTCAAAGAGATATACTAATATTTTAATAGTTCACACTAGCATAAAATTTTAGTTCAATTAAAAAAAATGTGTACTGATATTTTGTATCATTGTAAATCATCACGCTAGTACAAAATGTTGGTGAATGCTTTCGGGTACAAAGTGGCGTACAATTTTAAAAGTACATATAGTTTAATTCTGTTGAAGACAGAAAGATTACATCAGGAAGAAGGAAAAAGAATAATCCGAACTTATAATATGTTCGGATTTTACAATGGAAAAATAAAATAAAGTAAATGAAGAAACGTCGGTCATCGGAAGTCGAGGAGTTCTGGAGCTGCTTGGTGTGTGGTCGGAAAGAAGAAGGACCTGCAAACGTTGAGGAAAGCGGAGCCGCCGGAGCTTTCTTTAAGGTAGTATCGCCGGCCTCCTGCATTGTAACTTTCATATTTGACATTTTATTTTCACTGTAACTCCTATTTTTGGAATATAGACATAGAACTTTTTTTTTACATTTTTAATGTTTTACTCCTATTTTATTATTTTTCTCTAAACTATTTTGACTTTGATTTTTTTTAATTGAAACTAGAAAAATGAGAAAAAATTAAGTAATAAAGGGAAAGGTGAGGGGTCTTATATAAACTTAGATTAATAAAACATTATGTAAGTATTTTATTCATAATTTTTTTAATATAGTTTAAAATATTGAAATTTTCCTATTTTATCGTGTAGATTAATATACAAAAAAAGTCTTATTCATATTAAAAAGTTAAAGAAAAATAATGAGTGTCAATCGTAAAAATAGTGAGATGAAAAAAATAATTTATAAACTATAGATATGAACATAACAGTTATAATAATAATAACAACAACAACAACAACAATAATAATAATAATAATAATCACATTAAAAATATATCGTTTTTAAAGTAATTGATTGGAGAGTAGAAAGAGCGAGTGTGAAGAAAATGAGAATAGTTGGAAGAAACTTGAAAAAATGGGAAGGAACTGAAATTAAGAAACTGGAAGGAACTGGAAATTAAGAATTTAAGCCTTAAATAACATGCTCATAGTATCAAATTGTATCATAAACAAATGGATTAAGGTATTTATACTCTATGATTTGTACCCCAAATGGTACACCATAGGTGTACACTTCCTATTTGTGTCAGTGTGATGATAGGGTGATGGTTCACACAAATACAAAATGTTCCTGCAAATTTGTATTATCGCACTAGTATTTTGTGCCAATGTAAAACAACAAAATATTAATGTATATGTTTGGTGTAAGTTTAGGTACAAATCTTGGTGTACTTGTAATATAATATGGTGGTAAAGGAATACACACGCCTGTGTGTGTGTACACTTTGTGAACACATACTCCTATGCTTTAAATTGTACTCCCTCCGTTCCATATTAGATATTACACTCCAAACGACGTGCAAAATCTCAGTATTTTTAAAATTGTCTTATTCACAAATTAATATAGAAATAAAAGGTATAGATTATACCATTTAAAAGTACATAAAAAAAAATTAAAACAAGAGGTGATAAAAATATTTATTTTATCAAATTATTAATCAAAATATACAAACAAACAAAAGTTATCGAGAAGTTGTAATAGTGACTGTGGCATCCAACTCGAGACGGAGGGAGTACTATGTATCTTGTTTCAGTTCATACATATTTCCTTCGTCCCCAAAAAATTGCCATAGTGTGACTTTTTTTGTCAAACTGTG